CCCTGGCGCCCGCGCCACGGGCGCCGGCGCCAAAATAGTCGAAATCACCAAATTCGCTGAAAACTTGCTCCCAGGGGTGGTTTGACCCCCTGATCACGAATATCACATCCGCTCGGCGCAAAACCTCCTGCCGCCCGCGCTACAGGTGCTGGCGCCAAAATACCTCAGATCACCGGCGCCTGTGGCGCAGGCGCCAGGAGGTTTCGGGCTATGTGAATGTCATATTCGTATTCAGGAGGTCAAAATACCCCAGGAGACAATTTGAGCCAAATCTGTCCACGGAGAAAAAAGTCGGTCAGAAACTGGCTCAATTTGGGATTGTTGGGGCAGTAAAGGGTAAATAGTGCCGTTCTCACTTTACTGACAGTTAGACCTGTAAACTCTTGTGAAGCTGCGAAGTGGTGCGAGTGATCTGATTCAGTCCCACGAATTGGCAAGGTGGCCTGTATAATCTTGGCTTGAAGCCATTCGGTCGGCCCCCACCAAGCCGAACTGCGCTATAAACTATTGTCTATTTGGCCTGACGCTTGAACTAGATAGAGTGAACAATCATTCTCTGGCATTCTTGAAATATCTGGATCTCATAAGGGTAAATGTGATTGGCTCCTCACAACTCCCTCGAAAAACCGCTATTATCTGCTCCCGGCACATCAATGAGGGAGTTTTCAGCCGCTGGAAACTACCAGTCAACAATTCTCACGTATTCATGAGACTTTTTCTTTACGAAATCGATAAGCTCAGTGGACGATGGCGTGCTCTGGCTAGTGATAGTTTCCATAAGGAAAGATGGCAGCATGGATGTGAGCACGAACTAGTCACGGTATGGCCCCAATTTCGGGCGGACGTGGTCTAGTGGCAAAGGGCATCTCTTACCACGAGTAGGATTCAGAGGCCGTATCCTGGATCAGCTCCTGTTCGTGCCAAGCTTCCCTCCAGGGCTGGTCAAGAATTTGTCTGAGAAAATAAAAGCACTGTGTTGTACATCGCTTCCACCCCACCCCAAGACATTGTATGGGAAAATGATTCTGAATGGAAGTGAAATGCGAGGCGCATCCTGCAGAGCCTGAGAGCGAATTGTCAACGCCGGCAGCCGACAGATATCCTTTCATCCGTCTAATAGTTCCAATATGCTTTCATCGCTCAGTACAGTTCTGGGCGCTGTTCGGCTCTGAAGGGGCACTTTGCACTTTCGCTTGTTCCTTTTGTTAGTTCATTGACAGGTTTCACATTGTTGTAGCTGCGAAATAGTTTGCCTTAGGATATGGGTGAATCGTGGAGCTTTTTCAATCTCCTTTCCTTTTTCTCCTTCATTTTCCAACCGCTTTCTCTTTACCCTCTTTCTCATTTTCTCTCTTCAAATGCCTCGCGCCAAGTAAGATCGATGAGAAATTGCAGGCCTTCGCAGCGGAAAACATCGTGAAGAGCTTTGTCACCGAAATTGTGTTTAGGCGGCAGTCGCTATTGGTATCGGGATTATACCTTTCCAAAAAAGATTCGTACAATGCTTTCCAGAAGGTTCCACTTGGTGTCCCCTACCAAGTCGAAAAGTCGAACTGCCCCCAATTCTGGATAGAAGTAGAGTGCATGGCGTATCAGGAGACTAGATGAAATTAACCAGTCTTTCCCATTTTGGAGGAGCAAAATTAACAGATACGAAAGATCAGTCATAAATCTCAAAGGCTAGCTCTGACAGTGGAGTATCCCAGAAAGTGAGTGACACCCATCATTCCATTCCACTTTGGAGGGGCAAACTCAACAAATACCGAAAGCAGCAGCTTTGGAGTTCTCAAGAGTGGCTTTGACAGCGATTAGCTTCGAACACCCCTCAGTTCTCCACTTCTCATGGAACCAGCGGCCGTTGCTTTTCAGATTGGGGCGTGCACGGAACAAACACAATTGCCAACACAGCTGAATACCCCAAGGGTTGAGGCAGGCTTAATTGTGCGACGCATATTTTGAAAACATGCTCGCACACACACACATGTAGACTACGATAGATTTGCATGTTGCCCCAAAATAACACCCCAGAATAAGTGTTCTCGACACAACAGAACGTTGACGGAAAAGCTGTGCATGTCTTCCAGCCCGTTTTGCTTGTTTTTGCGAAGTCACGTCAATCGGCTATCTCAACGCAAACAGTTGTTAGTCTCCAACAGCTCCGAGGATCAACTCTCCAAAATTAGGCCCATAAAAAGAAGCCTTCGAGTAAACTTGAAGAAGCCGGCTGACTCGAAATGACACCGTCTGTAGAATGCCTCGACAAAGATGGAAGCTTGGAGAGAAATTGAAAGCCTAATGAAAGTCTATCGCTTGCAAATGCATGTCCCCGGTGTCCGAACGGCTCGTTGCGCTCACTCTATTACATTCCTCTGCCTACTAAGCCATCGAAAGCTACAAAGGCCTGCTTCCATCATCAGGCCTTTAATTAGAAAAAAGCCTTCATCTTTTGCAGGCGCATCAGGACAGGACCTGTTCTTGTATAATCAAATCCAAGGTCTTGCTACCCCGCCTTGTACATGAATAGCATGCGAGGCGTAATGCTAGCAGGGGATGCGCATGTCCAGATACAGAGCAGACAGGGCGGAGGGGAGGGGCCGCTGGGCGCTACCTAGTGCTGCTCATTTGACGTGTCATAGCAGTTAAGTGCCGATTTTCAGGCCGAATAACTCGTCGAAAGTATAACTGCTGCGGAATATTCGTGAGTGAACTCCATAGACTCGCGCATTCCAAAAGTTGCGTCCTGGTTGTTAGTTAGGAGCGGTTGCAACAACCAACGTTGGTTTCCAATGACCAGTCCGGGAAAATAAACTATTTCGGTGGTTTGAACGAGCTGCTCTACCTGTACGACGGGTCTCAAGGTATCTCTCAGCACGTCAATACCAACTTAATTGCGGCCAAAGGAGATACATCCCTTAGGGGTACATGCCTTAGTAAGGGCAGACCTGTGCTACACCTGTGCCCAATAAGGCATTTGAGCGCTCGAACATCGAAGTACAGATCCGACTCAGCGCTTGTCCAACTCAAACAACTTCTTTTTCTCAGAAAAACACTGGTTCAGTGCTACCCTATGTGCTTTCATTTCATAGGTCTATATGAGTATACACTTGGAAGCCTGCCAAACTCACACAAGGGTTTGCTAGCCATCCCAGCTGTTGAGAGTGGCGTATTTCCGAGACTTCTATAATCTACTACACCACATCAACTGAGCTGCAGACAGTGCAGTGTCAATGCTGGATTATTTTCTTCAGAAAAACTACACAAATCTACGAGAAATGCCACAACAAACAAGCCAAAAAAGCGTAAAGAAAAATTAGCTAAATATGCCCTACTGACGATTTCACTCTCGGATTACGGGAACACGTCATCTTATTGGGAAGTGGGATGCAAAAAGATAGGGAACACAGGGACTTTCGTATACTTAAAGCATCCATTTCATAAGTCATCGTTGGGAAAACCTGTCCCAATTGGCGACTACTGGTGGGGAAATCCATGTTGCGGCGACGAGGCGAAAGCGGTTTGTGCGCGGCATTCGAGCCAAGACCTGGTTGGCTGAACGTCAAAGAGCTGCAGTATGCAAGTAGACAGCAAATACTGGCTAACTGCTATATGCCGCGGCAACATGTATCTCCTAAGCGGAGAGCTGACCGATCTATCCCGGGAATGAAATTTATCAACCTCCTGTAATTTTCCTTTTCTCTGTAGTTGGACGTTCCTCGTATAGAAATTCTTCAGAGTGGAACAACTACCCACTCCCCCACCCCAAACTAGTCACCTCTCTTTTCCATTCAGTTGAATCAAACGTTAAATTCTTATAACCAGAGCGCCAAGGCCTACGGAAAGGAACATAGGGTACTCCTTGTTCGCTAACGTTTTCTCGATAAATATCTCACTAGAACAGGAAGGACGATAGGGGCAGCACCAAACCATGCAAACCTCCACCTGAAAAGTCATTTCGAGGCCGTCCGCAGTTTCCGCTCGTCGTGGATTCAGCACGCCAGCATTGCACAACAACACATTCAAGTCCGGAAATCGGCTTTTCACTTTGTCGGCGAAATGGGCTACCTGAAATTGGAATTTTTGTTAGTTCTTCACCATCCGCAGAAAATGATCGATCTCTTGTGAGTGAAACGAGATCAGTTAATAACTGCAAAACAGGACAAATGGCTATATCATGCACATTATGCGCGCTGAGGATGCATGTGTTAGGTGCGATAAACTGTACCTGTGTATAATTCCCTACTCAATAAAGTGCTCTAGATCTATAAATCTTTATTGCTGAAGGATCTTGGGACTTTTCTGGCGGCATACTAGTTTTGGTGACTTGTGCATGGAAAGACAAACCGCTGCAACTGTTCAACACGCTCATACCAACTCTGTAAAGCTTTGCAGGCTGTAGGCTATATTGTGGTGGAAAAATGTGCCGAAAAAAAAAAACGAAGCTGAAAGGATTCAGAAACCTGCACAGAAAAGGCGTTTCGTTCCCTCCATGACGGAAGGGGAGTATTTTCGGACGAGTTTTCCCATAAATATCGGCCCTTAACACGCCTATGATTCGATAAAAAGCTGGCGATGAGCGGATCACACATCCCCGTCACTACGGAGGGTGGGCTTGTCAGGCAGTATGAGGTGTCCCCGTCAAAAGCCCTCTTGCTGCCTTCTTGAGTGAGCCGCGCATTAGACAATAGTGGTAGAGAAACGAGTATACAACGATATATACAGTCATGTCATTGCTCGAATTCACACCGGTGGAAAATGGGATATGGCTTTGCGCCAAAGACTTGTTCCGGCCTGACACGCCCAACGCTCCGCAGCGAACTATACTATAATATATAACCATTCAGCACTGGAGCAGCTTCATATCAGTCCCTTTGCTTCATATTCTTTTTTGCGCAAATGAAGCAATAAGAGCATTAGGAGTGGTCGTCCATTTGTGGGCGTGCGGGCACAGTGGGCGTCCGGGTCGGTATGTTGCAGCTTGACAGTGCCTTATAAAGGTACTTTCTTTGGAAAAGACGTTACGCAACGCCTGCTCAGGGGTGAGGAATTCCGTTCCTGCCAGGCGACCAATCCTACTCGTCTTCAGGGGTTTATCGCGCCAACCGCTTTAATGTACGGCGTTTTAAGAACTGCCATTGGCAGAGGGTCCTGTATAAGGCACTTCGAGGACGGTTTTTTCTGCTTTTTCTTCAATGTTTGGTTACTTAGTACCCTGCCGTTCAAAGTTGAGTTCCACTAACTACCATCTGTCTTGAAGACTTTACCGTCAAACAGCGGAACAATTCAATACTGCCACCTTTCTTTCTTTCCCTCCCTCCCCTTTCGTGCGTACAACCATTCCAGACCATAGCAATGCTATATGTTACTGTAATTGACTGCTATCTGCTACTTTGACTTTCTGCTACTCAAATAGAGGTCTTTTTGAAGGCGATTTCGGTCCCTTGATGTTTTTTATATGTTCAAGCACTCTCTTACTCTGGTATTTCCAATTTAAGAGATTTAATCAAAGTGGTCGGAACCAGAGAGACCATTCCAAAACAGACGAGCATAGCACTGCGCTTCCTCTTTGCTTTGAGACCCACGCATTCCATTTAATCAGCACTGGTGTGGCAGAGAAATTCTTCTGCGACTGGACAAAAAGCAGGAAACTACTGCCTCCGTTCTCGAATCGCTAATTTGGTGCTGACACGTGGAATATGTGAAAGAACGTTCGGCGACGGCGAGTTTGCACAACAATTTTGGAGATTTCATGCTGCAATGGTGAAGGCGTGAGAAGAAACTGATCCCCACCTCCACATGAAATTGAAGCAAAAAAGCAAATACGACGGGAATAATGATGATAACATAGCTAACTGAGAAGCTAAAGGAACGGAGCCAAAAATTTCCAAGAAAAACTTGCAAACCTCCTTCATACTTGATAAATCGGCAGCAATGTAGTCCACATTTGTAGGGTTTCCCGTCTCCTTGACAATTTGGTCCCGAGTTGCCTGAAAAACGTGATGACGTCTATGTCAAGTCGAAGCTATACTTCATTCTTCATGAATAATCGTTTTCAAAAGGATTGACGTCTCAGTGAGACGTGGAAAATCTAAAAAGCGCCTTTACATCCGTAAAGGCAATGTCAGAATGAATGTACGTAATGTCGTATTTCTCGCAGAATTCTACCGCAGAGTTGAAGACTATCGTATTCCTGGAAACCAGGAAATGTTAAACCCTTCAACCGAGCCTACTATTCAAAAAACAGGCTGGAATTTTATGGAAACCTATCGTCGACAGAAGAAGTGACAGGGCTTTAAGCTCCGAAGCTATTTTTTCCCTGAACTCATCCATCAGACTATTTTGGCGCGATCACACCTAGATTGTCACAGGAAATCATGCTATAGTTATGCTCAGAAGCTCTAGGGGTCTAACTACCCCAAGGATAAAATCCTAATCCAATCCACGATCAATAACGAAGATAGGTTGGAGTCTAGCTCGGCTTTTGAGAGAAGGGCCGGTAAACGTATCTTGAAATCGCTCTTCAAGAAGAACTTACTAGAACAAATGCAAGCTGTAAAGGTGGGTCTTTTGAAGCCCTGGAGTTTGTTGAGCAGCTCCTTCGAGCACAAAAGTTTGTTCCGTGCTGTTCGGCAAAGGGGGGGGGAGAGGGCGTTCTAATTCCTTTTGGTAGCCCATTTTGGCCAACAGATCTCATAATGTTAGGACCTGGAAAGTTTGTGAAGCTGCAAAACGGTACAAGCGGCTCCTTCGACTAGAAAAATTTACACGTTCTTACAAGGTGGCCCCTACAAGCTTCGATGAGTACCATTTGGTGCCCCCACCAAACCGAACAGCGTCGTTTGTTTAACCCTGCAGTCATTTTGTGAGGGCATATTCACGGTTACATGCACCTTCTAATCTTTTTTAAACCAAGTACCACCCTTCCCTCTGTCCCTCTCAAACCGTATATAAGTCACTGTTTCTTTGTTCACACCACTCGGAGGCAGGGTACAGCATCGTGATTTGTGAAATAGTGGTGTA